GACTGTCATTACTGGCAGGGAAGTTCTGGTCTGATCTTTTTTTTCAAACTCACAACCTTGTGCTTTCCAAGCAAGTAATTGTACCACTAAGCTAAATCCCTAGCCCCTAGTTTTTTTTTTTTTTTTTTTAAATCGGTACCGGGGATTGAACTCACAACCATGCGCTTGCAAGGCAGGCGCTTATGCTGCTGAGCTAAATCCCCAGCCCTGTTTTTTTTTTTTTTTTTTAAAGCAGAGTATATGGTTCAAGCTGGCCTCAAACTCACTATGTGGTCCAGGTTGGCCTTGAACGCACAGTGACCCTCTTGCCTCAGCCTCTTGAGTGCTGGGATTACAGGTGTGTGCCACCACACCTGGATTTCCTGGTCTGACTTTTTATCCCAAGCAAATGGTTGCTTTGCCAGGACTGTCACAGGCAGGGTTCCCCTCCTGCCCTGGGTTTATCAAGTCTGTCAGGGCCCTCCTCAGGCAGACATCTGATCAGCTTCCTCCTTCCTTCTCTCTTTGGGGACTACCTGGAGCCTAGGTATTGCTGCTTGGACACCCTCTGCTCAAGTAAGTTAGAATTGGGCATGGTGGCACACCTACAATGCCAGCAGCCTCTCAAAATAAAAAATACAAAAAAGGCTGGGGATGTCGCTCAGTGCAAAAAGGCGCTGCATTAGTCCCCAGTTCCCAGCACCCCCCCAAAAAGAACAAGTATTAAGAAAATAGACAACCTGGTATTCAGAAGCAGAGAGAATGGTATAAGGAATCCCACGTATCTGTCACTCACTTCAGCAACTGCACTCCACCATTTTGTACATTCCCCTCCCACCACAGGTCATTCTGAGACACACCCAGATACCACACCATTTCACCCAGAGAGTCAGGGTTTAGTTCTTACGAAGTACTTTATTTATTTTGGTACTGGGAATGAACTTATGATATTGCAACAAAGTACTTTTTGAACATGTATATGATGTGTACCTTTTTTTTTTTTTTGGAGACAGTATCTTACTATGTAGTCTAAGCTGGCCTTGAACTCACTATATAGTCCAGGTTGGCCTTGATCTCATACTGATCCTGCTGCCTCCCTTGATACTTAAAAAAAAAAAAAAAAAAAAATTCCAAAACTAAAATGTTGACATGTTGCAATAGTAGAAATCCAATTTTTTTTTTTTTTTTTTTTTGGTCTTGTTGAGACAGGGTCTCGCTTTGCAGTTCAGGATGGTCTTGAGCTCACTTTGTAGCCCAGGTAAGTCTCGAACTTGCAACCATCCTCCTGCCTCAGACTCCTGAGTGCTGGGATTACAGGAGTGCACCACCACACCGGGCAATACCCCAATTTATTAAAAGGACAGTGCCTTGCTGAAATCCATTTTCCTATCCGGAAGATGCAGGGTGGCCATGTGGCTGTGTTTCGCTTATAGGATGTCAGTAGAAGTGTGAAGAAGGGCTTCCAAGAAGAGGGAGAAGAAGAAGGAGAGGGAGGGGAAGGAGAGGGCTCACAACCGAAAACCCTGTCTCTGATCATTCCCAGTCTTTGTTATCAAAGCATTAAGGCAAGGTTCAACTGTAATAAATGGAAAACAAACAAAACATTTAAAGCAGTGGTTTAAGTGGGATAGCACTTTTTTCTTTTATAAGCCTAGAGATGAGCAGCATGGAGCCCAAACAGCACTTCCATAGTCACTGAGCGCTAGGAGCCCACTGCTGCAGGTGCCCCACCCGACACCCCAACTTCCGAGGCTTCAAACCACAAACCTGTCCTCCCGTCCATCCGCAGAGGCAGGAGTCGGGGGAAGCTGCGCGGGCACTGCTGCGGTCAGAAGTCGCCGGTGTCACCAGGCTACAGCCACAGCTCCGTACCCATTCGGCCCACTCCTGCGGTGATGGCAGCCCGGGCTCTGGTCAGTGTTGGTTTAGGGTTACAGGTCTCTCCATGGACACAGTGGGAGACTTTCCCCAGGACTAGGGACGCAGGGCAAGGACAGACGGGAGTGGTGCCGCGTGCCTGTCATCCTAGCGTCTGGGGGACTGAGGCCGGAGGAGCGCTGCAAGTTCGAGGTCACCATGCGCTACAAAGTGAGCCCTTGTCTCAACAGCAACGAGCGACAGAGAGCGAGCCACAGAGGGGACCTCTGAGCGCAGCGCCGCGGTGCCGGCTTCCCGCGCAGCCTCAGGGCGCGGCCGCCGCCCTCGGATGGGCCGCGCCGCAGCTCAGCCTCGCGCCCTAAAGGCTCCCGCCGGGCCGCTTCCCGGCGCACGCGGGCTGCTGCCCGCACCCCACCCCCCGCCTGCCAACCGGCCCTCCCCGCTGCGCCCTCTCCTCCAGGGTCGCCCCCTTCCCCCCCTTCCGGAGAGCTCAGAACAGACCCGGGCTTGGGGGCGGCTGAGCGCGCACTCGCGCCCATTAAGTTCACAGCCACCGGGAGGCGTCCTCCGCGTCGCTCCCTGCAGACCAGCGCGAGCCCGCGCGCCCTCTGGTGGCCGAGGTGGGGCCCAGCTCCGGGCGCCGGGGGCTGGTGGCGTCCAGGGGCCTGGCCACTCCCTCCCCACTCCAAGGGACGTGAGCCCATGTCCCCGGCCCGTGGTGGCGCGCTCCACTCCTGGCTCAGCAATTTTACCCGTTTTATGGCCGCTAGAAAATTTTCGATTGTTCGTGTAGATTGCATCCATTTTTGCCTTTCTGCTCTAGGGAGTGGGTTCCCAGAGGACCTTTTTTTCATTTTTTGACTCTGCTGCAGGCCCCAGAGGTTGAGCACCCTGACACAGAGGAAATGGAGGTGTGGGGAAAAGCCCATGGGCGTGACTCTCAGGCAGGTCGGCCAAGTGGCATCTGGCGGCGCCTCTGGCGGCAGGAGCTCACAGAGACTGACCCGCAAGGGCTGGAGACCGCTGCTACCACCTGAAGACTGGGTGCCAGCCTTGGCTGTGCCAGTCACTGGGACCACGCTTGCTTGGCACCTTAACAACGAGGAAGACCCTAGGGAGGCCCTCTTGCCACAGCGGACTGGGGGGTACCCAGATATTCCTGTCAGGAGGGCCTCGGGGGAGAGGCTGCGTTTCTGAAATGCTCATTTGTTACCAGACCAGTTTCTAAAGTGTATTTTACTTTTAGATAATACAGAAAACCTGTGTTTCATTTTTGAGTCTATTTCATTCTAGAATTTACAGAGTGCCTGCTTCAGCACTCTGGGATTATAGGAAAAAAAATTTTTTTGTTTTTTAAGAGAAACGTATCTTTTAAAAGTGTTGCCCAGTTCATTCAATCCCTGGCACCGAAAGAAGAGCAACATTCCACCTTGAAATGTGCAGGGGTGGCCAGGAGAACTGATGAGAGGCGGGGCTGCCTGCAGGGCTGTGTGCTCAGGGCCAGCTGAGGGAGACCGCGGCCAAGCCACATGTCACCCAGCAGCTTCTCCTCGTCCATCACAGGGCAACAAGAGGGCCATGGTCTTGGGAGGTGGAGTCTGCGCCTGCTGCCTCTGACCACTTGACCTGGGGCCTGAAGCCAAGCCGATCAGGAAGGGCTCTAATGTACTCAGGATGCCAGCAGCACCCGCTCTTTAACAAGACATCCTCTCTAGGGGAATCAAGGGGACACACATGCCACACACAGACGCTCTTCCATCACCTTCTGCATTAAATCTGAGGGGCCGAGGGAACTTCCCTTCTGAGAGGCTTGCAGCGCTGGACAGGGAGCCTGACCTAGGTGTGCAATCCCTTACAAATATGGCTGCCAGGCCTCTCAGGTCCATGGGCTGTGGGAATACGAATACTCCCATCTGTTCAAATTCTGTAAGGGGAAGGCACCCAAGATTCTGCGCCACAGGCACTCATCACGTGGGGACAGTGACTTTCAGAGAGGAGAGCTTCTGGGACTCGAGGCTGACCACAAGGCTGACAACTCAAGCAGCTGCAGGGCCACACTGGGGAGTGCGGTGGGTGGGGCAGCAGAGTCCAGCTCCTCCTGGGAAGCTCCAGGAGTGGCTGCCTAGGGGAGGCAGACAGTAGCAGTTTTTCCTTTTTAGACAGAACTTGAGGTGCTCTCACCTCTCCAGAGCCGCCTTGAAGCTCTGACACTGCAGTGGTTCCAGCTTCCAGGGGTGTGGTGTTGCTCGGGCTTGTGTGAGCACTCAGCCGCAGGTGTCAGTAAAAGGCCACTGGTCTAGGGACTTTTGGACAGCCAAGGGCCAAGGCCCACAAAAGCTCATCAGTGCTTGACACTGATCACCAGCTAATGAAGTAGCACTTAGCTAGACAAGGTGCCACACATGCTTATAATTCCAGCACTCAGGAGACTGAGGCAGGAAGATCAGGCCAGCCTGAACTACATAGTGAGACTCTCAAAAAACACAACAGAATAAAACAAACAGGACTGGGGATTTAGCTCAGCAGTGTAAATGCCTGCCTGACAAGTGCTAGGTTTTAAGTTCGCTCCCTGGTACCGAAACAAACCTCACATAGCTTTGGCATCAGCAAGATCGCCAGAACAGCAAGTGCCATCTGCAGTGAATCCTCTGACCATTTTATTTCTGAGCACTTGGGGAGTCCTTGCCACCTTCTTAAGTGTCTCCCCTATTGCTTTAGCAGGTGGCAATAGAATACATGATGCAGGGAGGAATGTAGAGGAATGAGCAGCACAGGAGACTCAAAAAACCTCTCCTTTTGTCTCCCCACTGGTAGGGCAGCGTTGCCCTCTGGTGGCCACTGAGGACACATGCACTGGAATCAATGATTTGGCACTGGGCCCTTCAGGCCGCACTGCTGGCTGGCAGGCTTAGGTCCAGGCGCTGAGGCAGATGTCGGCCTCCAGGCTCAGGAGCTGGCTTTCACTGCTCTAGTGGCCAGCAGTCAGGAGAGTGAGGAGGGCCTGCTGGCTATTACGGCTGTGGGGACAGTCCTTCCTTTGCCGCCCCAAGAGCTCATCAGGGGAGCAGGGAACAGTGGGTGGGTGTTTAAAAAAATGGGCAAGAGTCTTCACGGGGTCTATCTTATTGATCAAGGTCCAGCCATTTGGCAAGGTATATACATTTTATTTAAAAAAGTTTACAGTTTTCATTATACACAACTATTAAGAGGTTATAGTCAGAGGCGGCATTTGTCCTGGTGACAGACGTGCCCACTAGATCATCACAATGCAAGGGAAAAGGTGGAAGGGAGGAGACGGGGCAAGGAAAACGTAAGCAATAAAAACCTTAGATTTCAACTCAGGGCTGGTAAGTCCCTTTGATCTTTTCAAGTATCACACAGTATGTACCAAATACAATCAGTAAATAATGGCCATTTCTTCCCAAGCCCACAGCCAAGACAAGCATTCACTAAATGAAGAGCCCCTCCTCAGGAGAGGGGGAGCTGTGTGCCTCAGCCTCCACCCCACGCAGCCTGCTGGGGCCACCAGGAAGTGGCAACATGGATTCAGAAGCCCAAGAAATGCAGTTCCTGTGCTCAAGCACAACTGAGTGATTTCCTCCAACAAGGCTGTAAACCCAGTTAGGAAGTAGATGAAGTAAAACCCCTGTTAAATTTTATAAATGGCTTCGGGGGAGGGGGGGCAACACATGCTGCAGAAAAACTAGCACTAGTTCCCAGACAGGGTGTCAAGAAACCTGAGCCACAGAGGCTGGTAGAGGATGGGGCCGTCCCAAGAGGAGGCCAAGGAAAAAGCAAGCGTTGGGTCAAGACCAAGGAGGGCTACAGGGAGCCGAGGGTGGGAGGGGGACTCCTCGGTAGCCCAGATCAGCTGGTTGGCAATCAGAACAGCTTCCAAAGTGGACAAAAACATTAGTAACAGAGAGATTATATGGCAACATCTGACTGTTCACTCACTGGTGTAGAACGCTGGCTGAAACTGAAAAGTAACCTCAAGAGGGTGGCAAGACTGCCAACAAAGAAGCCAAGACACTGCTGCCCACCGGCCCCGTGTTGGGCTTTCTAGGGCGGCCAGCGCTGCCAGCTGCAGCCACCTTGCTGCGTGTTTGGCAAGAGCTGAAGCTCAGGTTGGAACGGGAGCACAGCATGGCTTGTGCTGGTAAAACACAAGGTAGGATTTCAAAAATGCTGGGTACCAAGGCCAGGGAAACTGTCAACAGCAGCTCTGATTCCTGTCACCAGTTGAGGCCGAGTTTACCTCTTCAGCGCTCTGAGGGCCATTCAGTAAGGAAGGGACACACTAACAGCTCAGAAAGAGCCTGTCAAATAGCTCCTGCTGCAGATTATGGGGGCCCCCGAGTCCCAACCAGAGCTCCTAGCTCCTTTAAGCTTGTAAGCCTTTTCTTCCAACCTTGCATAGGAGCAGGGGACAGAGTATTAGAAGGGATTCTGTCCAACCTACAAAGGGAAAAGTTTGGCTCAAAGAGCCCAAATATGTGCAGGGTCAGGGTTAGTGCTCTCAAGGGACACCTGCACATGACAGGAGGGAAGGGTGAGACTTGGGCACAAGCCCAGGAGTTTCCAGTGCTAACAGAGGAGACTAATTACACCTTCACCACACACACTCGGCAGCCACACTTGGCCTGCTGCTTCACCCCGATTTTCATGTGGGTGCCTGTACCTCAGCCAGTGTTGCTGGGACTCTGGAAAAAGGGCAAGCGTGGGCTCTGCACTGGAGAAAATGGGTTCCTGTGAGGCAGAGCTGCACCATCTTCCCTGCACTTTTTTTCTGGACAAGATCAAAATCAATCATCTGGACTGTTTTGGAAGGGTAATTAGAACACTATTGTTTTACAATATTGAAAAAATACGATATTTTATTGTTTGAACTCAAATCACCACCCAGCACTTCTAGCTTACCCTAAGTAGCACCTAACAATAAAGGTTACAGCACAAGCAGACTGTGAATGCAGCAGGGAAGCACGCGGACAGCGCCAGCAGAGACCCTCCCGCCCCCAAAGCAACGAAGACAGTGCGCTAGGTCAAAGTACACCATTCATTACATGTTACAGTTAATTCTACCCTTCCAACAAGCCACGAATGCTAGCGCTAACTGGGTACAGTTCACTAGCCACAGCTTTATAGAACTGCACTTTTTAAAAGAAAACCTCTTGCTTCGTGCCCGTAATTAATAAGTAAATTCTTTGTCTTTTATTTAGGAAAATAATCATGCTAAAAACAAGTTGTACTTTTTTCAAAGAAAAGATTGATTGTGCTTTTTGAATTTAAAAAAAGAAAAAAAGATTAGGTATTTTCCAACCTCATTGACTTAAACCTTGTGGAACACAGCACTTCTAAACTAAAAACACATTAAAAAGAAAAATTATCCCAGGGAAACATTCAAAGTTGTCTTTAGATCTCAGGATTGGCTAAATCTACTTCTGTCCTACTGGATGTGGGGGAAAAAAAATAGAGCTGTTGTTTAAAACTTCTCCAAATCCCCCTCCAGATTCAGCAGGCAACACTCAGATTGAAAGAAACTCCACGGCAACCTGGACGCAGGGTTAGCAGAGCAAATACTGGATTGACAGGTTAAACAGTCTGACTTGCTCTTACACTCAGGACAGGAGGTGTTCTTCCTTCACAAGCTGTCCTCCTACATCACGTTCCCGAATCCCTCTTTTCTAGCCAGTCATTCTCCGAAGAAAGCTGTTTTTCCCATATGCAGGCCCTTTAGATACAAGAGCCTTTATCTGTTCCAGTTGTTTTTCAAGTTGAGAATCTGCTTTGGGTTTTGAATACCTATAGCCCACTCCCCACAGACAGACGGTGACCAGGCTGCTGCCAGGGGGAATCAAACACGACATGGAGTAGGAGCAACCTAGGCCTTGAAGCCAACAGGCCGGTCTTCTCGCATCTAGTGGTCCACCGAGCAGCTTGTCCAGGCAGGAGACCATCACTTAGCATGTGAAGATGGTACTTGTAACCCGTCTAAGCACAATGCACACATATTGGAAAAAAACCAAAACCAAAACCCCCTTCAGTTTAATTTAGTCCAGGCAGCAGTCTTGAGCTGGCCCAACACTAGAATTAGCATGGGACTTTGCAAGTGTTTTCGATGAGAGGCCATATCTTCCAGTCACTTTTCTCCTCCTGTCCTCTCAAAAAAAAAAAAAAAAAAAAAAAAAAAAAAAGGTCTGGATCACAACCTATACCCCAAGAAAAAATCAGGCTTAGAAAATACTTCCAAGAGGTTCTCCAATACACAATGTGGTGGCTGCAGGTCTGGTAGCATGAAGGGCAGGAATCTACATATAAAAATGTACTTAAGTTCAGTCGAAAATGTTTTCTCAATTCTCTAATTAGCTCTCTGCTTTACACTGATACTCCACAAAATGGGCCCATCTAGGACTCACAGGAAGGGGCCGTTGATTTGTACGTGGCTGGCTCTACATGTTCCCAAAGCAGGCCTCTTCCTCCCCAATTTTTTCCTTTCCAATTTGAAAAAGCACTATTTTATCTTCACATTCAAGAGCTGGTTGGTTTGGTTTGTTTCTTTGGAACCATCAATAAAAAGAAGCAACTTTTCCTGTTATTTTTACTCATGTCTACTTATCAGAGTGGCTATGTGACATTCAGTAGCACACAGGCTGCCTTGGCCAAATGGACTTATGAATGCATGCATTCGGACCGCATATTGCTACCAAAATGGAATGTGGGAATATGCTATGCACCTCAGGTTGAGAAATGACCAAGAAATCAAGATCTAAAGGGTGATATATAATATATATATATCAATGCTATTATTCATAAAAACCTTGTTTAGTAATAAAAAAAATTGCTTTGTTTAAATATGAATATTATAGTCTGCTTCTCATGGTTAGGAAATAATAGTCTTTCTGAAAAGCAGGTGCTTCTTCTACTACAACTCCATGTCCTGGGCCTCGTCTTCCGAAAAGTCAGACATAGAACTCTCCGAAGAGCTGTCCCCAGTGCCCTCTTCCTGCTCCTTTAGGGCCTCCTCCGTTGCATACTTCTGGATATATTCTGCACAGGGGTGAGGAAAGAAGACATAAATTAAGATTCCCTTTCTGTGCCAGAGGTGAGAAAAAGGACAGCTACCATTGTCACTATAGCTAAAGCTAAGTCCATGGGGAACGGGGGAGGGATGACCACAGCAGGAGAGCAATACAGAATACCTGACCTGCAGACAGGTAAGTACCCCACATCCCCACTCTGGGATGCTGGAGGGGCAGGAGCAATAGGCACCCCACACTCTGTTTTTTACTTTAATGGCAATAAAATCATTTGCCTCCCAGACAGATCATGATGTTAAGATACCATAGCAACTTACCAGGAAATCCCCACTGTTTTTCAATTTGTAGTTATAATAATTATAGTTAGCCCAGATTATTATTTTAGGAACAGACTTCAGTCTACACAGATCCTGCCTGTCAGGTTTTAGAAGCAGCCAGTAAGAAATGAGCGGCTGTCCAGGGCATGCTCATGAGCCTGAGTAACTTTACTCTGTATCATTTACCTTGCTTTTATGTGCTTTATTCTAGGCTGAATCTGCTGGCTAACAAAGAATTTAGGAACAGCTGAATAAACAAACTTGTTCCTAAAAATATACAGTTTTCTAGTAACTCACCTACACACAGTATGAAAGAGACAGATGGTGGGAAACCCATCAGGGTGGCACTGGACACACACATGCCTGCATGCTACTGGGATTTGTCTTTTCCCCTACGGAGTTACAGAGACTGCATTATGAAGATGGGTAACTAGCCATAGGGGCCTGCCAAATCTGAGCAGCCAGAGAAGGGGTCTTGCCAGGAATATTTTTCGTATTTTTCTTTACAAAGTGTATAGATAAGCATTAGCACTCTTTAACTTCCTAAAACTTTACACCAAAATCATGAGATTAGATGAACCTTCATCTAGGTAAGAATTTGCCTAAATTCATGTTTAAGAGTGAGAGGAATGTTACTAAAGTCTTCGAAATGTTATTTTTGCCTTCTAATGAGCTGGCTATTCTGCTTTTTCCTCTGTAGAAGTTGCTGCACGGGGATGTTGTTTTGTGACACTCCATTACTGATGGCGAACCTTTTAGAGCTTTCAATGACATGAACAGCCTGCTGCAGCACATGGCACAGCTTTACCACCTCTGCTTTAATATCTTACTAACTTTCTTCAGAATGTTCAAGGTAACAAGTGTTTAGGGAACACTTACTAGGACGAGGCCTTTCAGGAGACAAACTGAAGAGCAAGGTCACTAACAGGCGGTGAGAACAGATGCAGGTGACAGGCAGGAGCTGCTAAACTGCCCTGCAGGAACATTCAAGGAAGGAACTGGCTGGGGCCAGGGAGGCAGGCATAGCCATACAGGCCTAAGCTCTGCCAGCTGCAGTGGAGGACAGGCCATCCAGGCCTTAGATTGACCCAAATTTAGTGGTTAGTACATAAAAACCCTGTAGGTAAGAAAGAGCTACTTGTGACATCTTGCTTGCAAGGCAGAATGGAAAAGTTTTGCCAGAGGTAGGTGGTGGGTCAGTGGTAGTTAAGCTATTCTGTGTTTTTATGTAGGCTGAAACTTTCTGTGACAGGCCAACCACTTTCCAAGCCCCCTTCTGTCCCTGCTAGCAGCTTTCTTTCTCTTAATAACTTCTACTCTTAACCTCTCTTGTTTCTAGAATTCATTCCTTGACTTTACAGAACAAAAAACTTGGCATTTTGGATAACTAGCATGTTGGAAGTTTCTTTCTCCTATATCATTTGGAGGCCCCAATGAGATCTCTGGACAGAGAGGTAAGAGTGTGCTTTTGTTTCATAGATACTGGATTGTGACCTGTTTAATCAAAATTTTTATGCCTCAAATTTTTGTATCTTTGCCTATTGCTTATAATTGCTCCTGCTTTGTTTCTTACGTAATTTTGTTAAAATAATGATAAATTTAAGTTTATCATGGGAAGGTCATGCTTCTTTACTAGGATATTTTATTCCTGTTTTGTATGTGTTACATTTGGACTAATTGCTGGACTTTTAGTGTTCTTGCTGCTATGGTTAGTTATCTTAGATAGCAGTGCTAGGGAAAAGTAGTATTGAGAGTTCCCCCTCATGAATTTTGATATGAAATGCTAAAAAACAGTTTATGAAATCTAGTTTGTATTTAGAAAATACACATGTCTATTGATAAATCATGGACCCTAACTCCCAATTAAAGAGCAAAGGCTGACAGCTATTCTTAGGACTTGAGGGACAGGTTTCATTGGGACAGACTGACCCTACTCCTCCTCTACACTCTAGAGGAAATGTCAAGCTCAAGCCTGTTTTGCCTCAGTTTCCTTTTGGTCTGATGCTGGTGAAGAGGCAATCTTAGCTGTTGAGACTGCCCATTCCCACCTTTCCAGGGAAAGTGACGACTTATGATCAAGTTGTTTCAATAACTCTGTGTTAGCATGAGAAGAAAAGACTTCCTTTCTCTGATCACATTTCTGATCTTTTCCTGCCACTCTGACCTTTCATTTTTTTGGAGGCATGTAAGATTAGAGAGAGAACTTACCCAACCTTTAAATCCCATCCAACAACTAAGCTAAGCCCGTAGAAAATGAGCATTTGCCCAAGTCAAAGACCTAAGTAACTATATTTATTGTAATCTTACTAGTTCACCATAGTTTTGTCCCACCTCAGACCTACTTTGTGACTTTCAATTGGATTAGCATTACCTAAGCAACTATACTTTAATCGTAATAAAATACCCTTGAAAGTGACAGGCAACCTGCTTTCTGGGCCCCATTCTGTCCTTCTGAGACAGAAATTTTCTTTCTCAATAAATCCTTCCCACTCTAAAAAAAAAAGAAAGAAACTTCCCATGACTAACAAAAGGAGGAAATATATCTGGGTACCTCAAACTCACCGAACTGCACTGACACAGAGTGCTGTGCTGACAGGAGTTAAGGCAAGGTTAGAGATCATGGGCTTCGTAGAGAGCCCTGAAAAGCAGGGTGATGATGCCCCTTCGTGAAGGTTTGTGAGCAGAGAAGTATTATCTCCTTAGACAACTCCACGAATGACCAGTCACTTCCATGGGTGCTCAATATTTAACTCTGTTTTCAAGGCTGTAATCTAAACCAGAATCAGCTACACAGGAATACTGACTGACACCCTGGCTAAGTAAGGGCAAGTACACCTCACTGAGTTGAGTATGCTGATATGTGGGGACCGCCACAGTGGACTGTCCAGCAGCAGCCTGGAAAAAGGGTCAGGTGTGGACACACATTTAGGAGTCATCAAAAGAAATATCTGAAGCTGAGAGGTGAATTAGCTCTCTAAGAGGGAGAGGAAGAAGGACCATGGGAATCAACTCATAAAAGTCCACATTTGGGAAATGGAATGACTAGTTTTCAGAAAGACAGCAAGAGAAAGGTTTGAACTGGTACAGTTCAGACAGCTGAAGGCAGATGTCTTGTACTCTGGGTGAATAATTGGGGGATGACAATGTGTAATGTATGTACCATTGTTAATCCTGATTGATGTGCTTTAAAAGTTTATTGTAGTTTTTTTCTTCTATGTTTGAATGAAACAGATTTTTTAAAAAGAAGGAAAAAACAAACAAATGAAACAGACAGGAAAGACACAGAGAGGTCCAGGAAAACAAGATTTAAGAAAGGTTCATGAGAAAGAAGAAAAGAGCTCACAGTATTAGCAAAAGAAGAAAAATGAAGAACTATGGCAGTTAAGATAAAGAAGCAGGAAGTTTGAAAATGAAATAAACAGCTTGATTCTTAAGGGAAACAAAAAGAGTAGATCTTGTTTCCCGACAAAAAAACAAAAACAAAAAACCCCAACAACACACACACACACACAAACTCATGAGGAAAGGTGCTATCTAAAGGCACAGAAGGAAGTGGAGGTGAGCTCAGGCCTGATGGTCATGATTCTCCCAGATTACAAGGAAGACATAATGATCCCCTCCGTGTTAACACTTCAGAAAGCCAGAGGCCATTCTAAGACAAAGACAGATTGGGCTCCTTCTGTTCCGGGGACCAGAGCAGATATGCACTGCAATAGGGCTAGTGAAGCATCATGAGTAAGAACTACAGAACATTCTCTGCACTGAAATATCTGGCTTGCAGACCCCAGTTAAGTGACTCCTATGTCAGAATTTTAGCAGATTTTCATAACAGTTTTACCTAGTTGAAAATGACTGCCTCATTCTTGGAATGCATGTTTGTTTGGTTATGTAGCTATTGTGCTACATAAATTAGATATTAATTTTCAAATCTGTAATTAATTTACCTAAGTAGATTTATTTCTACTTTATCTAAACAGTAGATTTATTTCTACTTTATCTAAACAAAAGCACCAAACAATATTCTAGAGACCTGGGGAGAATGACAGAAGGAAAGTAAGTCCTGTTTGTCTTCACTCTCCTGTAAACTACCCACATTGCCATCTCTTGCTAGCACACTCCTAGCGTTTTATTTTGAGGCAGGTCTCGATATGCCATTAAAGTGGCCAGGCTAGGCTTGTATTTCCAATTCTCCTGCTTCAGCCTCCCAAGAGTGCTGTATCAGAAGTGTAGGTACCGGGCTGGCGATTTAGCTCAGCGGCATAAGCGCCTGCCTTGCAAGCAGGCAGTTGTGAGTTTGATCCCTGGTGCCGATAAAAAGGATAAAAAGGGGAAAAAAAAAATACAGAAGTGTAGGTACCACTCCTGGCCCCATGTGAGCTTTCGATGTTTGTCTGTAACGTTCTCCTTTTAATGAAACTCCAGTCCCATGACTGTGGAAACACAGGATTCTAAATCCTAAGGGCACTGTAACTGAGAGGGGGGGTGGCGGCACGCCTGCTGGGGCTTGTGCTCAAGGTTGCTCAGTGCTACTTAAGTCTAGAGAAAGTCCTGAGGAGCTAGGTAACTCACCAAGGGCTCTAAGTGATTACAGCCCAAGAGATTAGTTTTTCTGATTCCCGGTTAAACTGTGTTCCTCCTTACCTTTAATTTTCTGCTTGTATTCTTCTGGTCGGTGGAGGTACATGGCTGCTGCATCACCATTGAGAGGATCTATGGGGTTAGGGTAGGCCAACAGCTGGGGCAAGAAGGACTCAAATATATTGGTAAGATCTGAAAAACATATACAAGTTCTTCTTACTTGGGAACACAAACATTCATCATTGAATTCAAATCTGCTACCTTCTTAAGTAATTATAGGGAGATGATTTTTCCATAATTGCGTGTTCTACTACACAAAATTTATCTAGAGTGTTTTTTTGTTTTTTTGGGTATTTTTGAGACAAGGTCTTGCTCTGCAGTTCAGGCTGGCCTTGAACTCACTTTCTAGCCCAGACTGGCCTCAAACTCATAGCCTTCCTCCTGTCTCAGCCTCCTAAGTGCTTGGAATTACAAGCTTGTGCCACCAAGCTACCACCCCCCCTTCCCCCGCCCAAGTCTCACTGTGCAGTTCAGGCTGGCCTTGAACTTACCATATAGCTGAGGCTGGTCTCAAACTGGCAGTGATCCTTCTGCCTCAGCCTCCTGAGAGCTAGAATTACAGGTGTGTTGCCACCACGTCTTGTCCTTTTTTAAAAAAGGTAAATCTTGCCAAGTCACTACACTGCCTAAAGGGGGTTGAACTTTTAGGCCTCCTGCCTCAGTTTCCTGAGTGTTGGGATTATACATGTATATTACTACACAGTCCAATTAAAATTTTTTAAATTCAATGTTAACTTGAAGAACGAGCTTAAGATATACCTGGCATTTTGTGGTGCTGGGGATCAAATCCAGGATCTCACACACTAGGCAAGTACCACTTACCTACACTCCCAGTTCCAACTTTCCCAATTCTGCTTCACTCCATTTTCCAAACTGAGAAGTTATCTATATACATTAACTAATTAAAACTTGTGAGGCATCATATTACTTCCAAATGAGTAAACTTTTTTGTTCTTTGGTACTGGTAATTGAAGTCAGGGCCTTGCACTTGCCAGGCAGGCATAGTGCCAGAACTATGTCTCTGGTCCCTTAAATTTCTTAAGATAGCAATTTCTGCAACTTTAAAAACTCATTTGGTTTTATCCTTGAAATAAAATGGATTTGGTATTAGAGATAATTTTTTTTTTTTGGTACTGGGGATTGAACTCATGACCTTGGTCTTGCCTGACAGGTACTTATGCCACTGAGCTATAAAATGGATTTGGGAAAAAAACCAAAAGATTAAAAAAAAAAAACTTTAAAAAATACTTAAGTGCAGATGAACAAAATTTTATAGGACAAGAAGTCAAATTCTCAGCCTTCTGTCTTTGAGACAAGCTCTTACTACCGTACATAGCCCAGGTCAGTCCTGAATTTGTGACCCTTCTACCTCATCCTCTTGAATAGCTAGGAATATAGGCATGTACTACAGTGCCTGGCTTGATTCTCATTAGCTTTCAAAGGAGGTAAATGTAACTAATTTTTCTTTTCTTTTTAATGGAACAACTGATGAAATTATGTGTCATCCTTGCACAGTGGCCAAGTGAATCTTCTCTGTATTGTTTCAATTTTAGTGCATGTGTTACTGAAATGAGCACAACCAGCTTTTCAATTATTCTTGTTATATCGACCACTTAAAACCATAACCATAAAGCAGATAAGTACCAATGTGGCATTTATTAATCATTTCTTTTCTTTTTTTTTGGTGATCTCGTGCTGCAAGGCCGGCACTTACGCTTCTGAGCTAATCCTCAACTTATCATTTTAACAAACATTAACTCCCTTGCCAGGAATACACAAATGAAATCTCAGTGAGCAAGATAAATCCTGTAGTTCACTGCTTTCTAAAGGGAGCGGTCCTTGGTTGAGCATAGGGCCACAGGCAGTGGCACACAACTGTCACCTCAGCTACTTGCAGGCTGAGGCAGGATTCTAGCCTGAGCAACTTGGTGAGATCCTGACTTCTCAAAATTACAGAAAGGACTGAGGTTTGGTGGCACACATCCTTAATCCCAACATAGGGAGGTTGAGTCAAGAGTTCCAGCTCAGTCAGCTATACAGAGCTCAAGGCCACTCTAAACTATAAGGTAAGACATGACCCCCCAAAATATAAATAAGGCTGAAGACACAGCTCAGTGGTAGAACATTTGGATAGCAAGCACGAACCTCTTCGTTCAATCTTAGTACTTAGAAAAGTAAAATAAACCAGGATGTGCTATAACTCATACTTCCCCATAGCTTTGGAATGCAGTGATTTCTATTCTGTTCTCAGATGGCAACAGTGAACTGGAAAACCTGAGCGCTTCCATTTTTCGATTCCATCAGCTATTCTGTCATGTTTTATATAAGCATTCTTGTTTCTGGAGGCAGTGTGGAAATACAAAAGGTGGCATAAAAAATCTACCTTTTATTCTGGATTGATTTATTTTACAATAAACATGCCTATGCAGTATTAAGAGGTGAATGCTTTGCGCCAAGCCACATTATTTGAGATTTGGAGCCAGGCGTGGTGGCTCACGCCTGTAATCCCAGCACTCAGGAGGCTGAGAAAGGAGGATCCTTGTGAGTTCGAGACCAGCCTAGGCTACAAAGTGAGCTCAAGGACAGCCTAAACTGCACAGCCCTGTTTCAAAAAGACAAAAAAAAAAAAAAAAAAAAAAAAAAAAGAGAGAGAGAGATTTGGGGTTCTTAGCAGGGTAATTTTGCTACCCAAGCAATCTGGCAATGTGTGAAGACACTGCATGCTGTCCCAAGTGGGTGGAAGAGATGTGCACTGGGCAGAGAACAGGTACAGTAATAAAGCATCTTCTAGTGCACATGACAGCCGCCAACAGAGAACCACCTGGACCAAAATATCACATGTGCTGAGGCTGGAAAACCCTGTTCTGGATCAAAGAGGTTGGGAATGCTTTTCCTAAGAGGACAGGATAAATACTCCAGGCCTTGTGGGCTGCAAACAGTTTCTGTTCAAGATCCAGCGATGCCACTGTAGCACAAAAACAGTCCAAGATAATTGCAAAAAAACAAATGGCGAACAAACAATCATGGCTGTGATCCAACAAAACTTTATATACAAACACACGAAGCCAAAGTTTGTAAACTGCTTTAGAATACCCTCTACCTAAGATGAAGCTCTTCCTTATCGCTGTGGGATGAAGCGGCTGAGTAGCAGCACTACTCAACAGAACTTTCTGCGGGGATGGAAATGCTCTATACCTGAACTATTGAAACTAGAGCCACTAAATCTGACCCACACGAAACAAAACAGGGATGGAGGGAGGGATAAAAGAACTGAAATGTGTTACATAACTGTACCGATTCTCTACAATGAATACAACTATTATGTACTGCAAACAGGTAATAATAAAAATCAAAACAGTAGCCTCTTGTCGCCATGTGGCTACTGAGCACCTAAAATATGGCTATTATGGGTAAGGAATTAACATTTTCCTTATATTAAAGTGCAATTAAATTAATTAAATTTAAGAAGCCATATATAGGTGTACTAAGCAGTGTAGGTCTAGGCATGATATGCTAGAACCCCTCAGTGGAGAACATCAGGAACCCTGATCTCATGCACCACCACCACAAAGATACCTTTTACCACAGCCCAGAGGTACAGATGTGGTGCAGTTTTGCCTTTATAAGGCCAATTTCAAAACAGTCCCAACGACTGATAGTACAGTGAGACTCCCAAGCACCAGGAAACAATCAAAAATGACCTTTCAAGATAACCTCAAACTATCTACAGTAGGATCTTGTTTTGCTTATAAGGTTTTTTTGGGGGAGGGGTGGGGAAAGACCAGGGATTGAACTCACAATTTCATATCTGCCAGGCAGGCGCTTAAGCCACTGAGCTAAATGCCTGGTCGTTAGGCTTTATTTTTTTTAAAGGAAGCAACATAGTAAAAAATTTAATAATTATTCATTGTACAAAGCCATGGAAAAATAATTGTAAAGGCTAAGGAACAAGGAAAAATGTTATACTTGAATGCTGGGTAGAAAAAGGCCATAAAACACTATGCATATGTAAGATGCATATATAAGGATGTTTTTATTTATTTATTTTTCTGGTGGGTACCGGGAATCAAATGCAGGACCTCATAGGCCAGCCAGGTGCTGCACCACTGAACTGTATCCCCCATAAGAATGTTTTTAAGGTTATGTTGAGGCAATGGGCTCATAAAATTTTTCACACATCAAATGACACTACTTTTCTTTTGAGGCAGGGTCTTGCTGTGTAGTTCAGGCTGGCCTTGAACTTGCAGCAACTCTCCTGCTTCAGCTGCCAGAGAGTGATGAGTTACCACCTATGGCTATTTTTTATTTAAAGAGTGTTTTTCTGTAAATGATGTCCTTCCTACTTTTGCAAACATCTGAAATGTCTAATAAGACATGGAAAGTATAGTTTCTTCTCCTTTATCTTTTGGTGGGTGTGTTAGTAAAGGCAATCATAAGGCAAAAGGTAATCATTGCCAAAAAATAAGCAAATTGAGAAGATTTACAAAGTGAGTGTGCTCCCAGACCAGGAAGAGTTAATAAGAACTATAGTAACAGTAGTAGTAATAACAGCAGTGGAAGCAGACTAACCCTTGCATGGCCCTGGTTACAAGCCAGAACTCTTCAGCTCTGGGCCAAACGTGCAGCCCATGAGGGTAAGTACCTCACTGCCTCCATTTCACACGAGAGGAAACTGAAGCACACAGATGATGTGACTTGCCTAAGAGGATTTCAAATTTAGGCTTAGCCACCACATTGCTTGTTGGCAGACACAACTGTCTCAACTTTCATGATGGTGTAAGCTGCTCACATCTCTGCAGCAGTCTCACGGTTCATGGGCCGGGGAGCCAAGCCATGGCTCAGAGACAAGAGTACTCCTCCCCAAAGCTCCCTTTTTTCTCCCATGTACAAGGCTGTGGATGGGCTCTAAGCAGGTAACATGCATGCATTTCTTTTTGTTGTTTTTTGAGACAGAATTTGGCTGTGCAGTTCACACTGGCCTTGAACTTGCAGTGATTCTTTTGCCTCAGTCTCCCAAATTCTGGGATTACAGAACCATCCGCAGCCATTCAGGTGTTTTTCTGGGTACTTCACAGAGGTAGTGGGCTTGTTTTCAATGGCTCAACACAGGAAGTGACCCGCACTGTTCACAGGTGCATGCACAGTGAGCTGGTGCTGCTGACACAGGAGGCACTCCAAAGGATTAGCTGCTGGATGTGCCTACCAAACACCAACAAAATCCTTTAAAAACAAAGTACAGGTTTTGTTCTCTTTCAGTAATATTCTGAGCGCTTCTGATTAGAGAAATATTGTAGATAACACATCACATAACTACAGGTTTTGTGTGTCCCAGGAAGAGATTTTTTATATCCTTTCCTACCACTTTTAAATTTCCTCAAGCTACCAACTTAAGTGGCTTTAGCTTATGTGTTTGTTCCAAACAAATAAAAAAACCCATTAATTATTGGTTCTTTCCTGTGTCTACCACACACTATTAATCCATTTTTATAGACGTACTGAATCACACCTGTAAAACAGGTACGTGGAAAAGGAAAAGCCCGTATCCAGGTTTGGGTAAAGGTTATGGCTTCTGGAGGTCAGGAGGGAGATTCCAGTCCTGCCACTCTAAAGCAGTGAACTATTCACCAAGGCTGGCAGAGGGGTGACCCATAAGTCCCTCTGAAAGGAGCATCTCTCACCTATGCAAATGTGCATGGTTGGGAGTAGAGCGCTCACTTAGCATTTGTGAGGCCCTATAATAGGCCCACCGGTACTACATACACACACACACACACACACACACACACACACACACACACACGAATGAAATAAACACATTCAAATTTTTTTTTCTTCTTTTGAAGCCAGGGTCTGACTACATAGTTCTGGCTAGCCTTGAACTCAGTATGTAGAGCTCAGGCTGACTTTGTACTCACGGTGATCCTCCTGCCTCAACCTTCTAAGTGCTGAGATTGTAAGTGTGACTCACAACACCCAGCTAAACTCATCTTTGGAAAAATTTATCAGAATGACTTATTTTTGTTCAAATGTATTAGGTCAAAGACCTTTATTCTAAAAACATCAACTTTTAACTTTTTGCAAGGTAAGTATGAAACACATCACCTAATCTAGAGATTAGAGTCAGCTGGCTCCATTTCTGGCTAATGGGCAGTTACTACACCCCTGAGAAGTATAGTTCATGATGAACAAATGGCCCTTACTTTGCCTTAGACTAAATGAGCAGGTACCAAAGTGCAGTCCATCAGTCTGATCCTACAATGCAGTCTGATCCTACAGTATTAATGTGAACTTTACAACACTTGTGTCTCAATCAACATATATAAACGAATGATGTAGGTTATGTATTTACTTTAGAACACCCAAATGATACGGATTTCCCATTAAAAGGAGCATCAAGATGGGTGTGATGGTATAAACCTATAATCCCAATTATATGCGAGGCTAAGACAGGATGATCTAAAGTCAAGTCTGCAAAATTTGGCAAAGCCTTCTCACAAAAAACAAGCAAACAAACAAAAATATAAACATATACATATACACACACATATATATATAATACTATAAAACTAGCCAGATG